TCTAGGTACAGCATGCTGATTGGACTGAGTTCGGTCGGCACGCAGCACGACTTGGGTGCCGCACCAGGGTTCGCCGAGTGCACCAGCGTCTGCACGATCGCGTGATTGGTCGCGTTCAGGTTGTCGCTCAATGGAAAAGGACAGTCTCCCTGACAGTAGTACGCCTTGTAGCCGGGTGGCGCCACGATCCAATCATTCCAGCCGACCGACTCGAAGTCTACGTACAGTTCGTGTCGTTGGCACAACGACCGACGACGGTAGGTCTTGTGGCGATGCTTGCGGGCGCTACCTCCGCGACTGTGCGACCGACCACTGTTCGACGACCGTCGACCATTTCTGTCCGTGTCGTTGTTGTTGTTGTTGGAGCCGTCACCGGCCCTGCGTTTAGTCCTCCTGAGGATCGTCCCTTTGTTGCTGTCATCATGATTACTGTCACCACCACCGGCCCCTGATGCAGTAGCAGTCGCCGCCGCTGCTTCTGCAGAATCCGAAGTGTAAACAGTCAAAACCGGAGACTGACGCAGAGGGTCAGAGTCGCTGTCTCGAAACTGAGAGAACGAGGAGGAGGAGGAAGAGGAGGAGGAGGAGCTTTTGGAATGCAGCTGCAGTTCGCACGAGGTCGCGCGAGTGCGACGACTTGTGAGCTGAATTTTTCCGCTCTTGCCGCTATTCAGTAACCACCGACGGACGGAACTGCTCACGTCAAGAGTCACCCAACCGAAGTCACTGAATGCCTCGCTCCTGCAATTAACCTTAATTGTATCCACTAAGACAGTGTGGTTGCGGATCAGTTCATACACGCTGACTTGCATCTCGTTTTTGCCGTTCAGCGGCGCATCCTGTGAAGGCCCTGCACCTCCAGTGCCGCTACCCGTAAGCTGGCCGCAGGCCGCAGGGCGACTTCGGTGACTAGACTTCACTAGAACGGTCAGTTCTGCGTTCTCCAATGTCTCATGTACGGGCACATTGCGTAAGTCAAATAAGAACACACCTGAGGGAGCGGAATCGTCTAAAACATACAAGCCGGTCAGGTAGCGTAGTATCATACAGCAAACTGGCACAAATCTATGAAATGCAGCATCGAGAACGTTTAATCATACTGTAGGCAAGTTTCCGGACCTAACGTTAAAGTCGGCGTCAAAACACCTTCAATTTTACTGCCAACGCTTCGGCCACACAGCGAAGGTCTTCAAGACAGAACAGACAAACAAAGACTTTATGCGAACATGGAAAAAAACCCAAATAGCTTCAATAAGCCGTACAGTAGCCGCCAACCTCCAGCGAAGTAAGAATTTCTGTCACCGACTTTACGTGGATCATTTTAAAAGAAATCGCTAGAGCATTGCCCTCCTGATTAAAATCGTCCCATGCTGATGATATCTTCGTCGTCGTTAACAAGTATCTGTTTCGCTTAAATCTGTATATACTAAAGATTAATAAAATATTCATATTCCAACGCTTCTTAACTAAACGCAAGTCTGATAGGACATTCGAATTCTCCTTGTAGAGAAAAGAAATCCATTTAAATCGATTCCTAAATCCTTTATCTTGAGGAATTCACTCTGTATTTATTGCTTATGACGACCCGCGGAAGGGTCGTGCTGATAAAATCCAGAGGTGATCTTGCACTTCCGTTTCTGGCCGATTTAAGTAATATGTAGTGCACTACATATTTTTTACCTAATCAATTCATCTTCAAACTTTCCTCGACCTTGTTTCTGGTTATTAATTCAGCTCCTTCTTTTTGATCTATAGTGGGAGACAACAGACTTTCAAACTTTACAGAAGTAAGCGTTTTTCAGTGTCACAGCCATTGGTATCATTGGGCCAAAAATAAATATTTTTGCTGCAATAAAACTAATGCGGAACATATCTTTAGGTTCAGTGGTAGTAATGAACCTCACTTTGCCTGAGGAACAAGTAAATGACAAAGATCCAGTTTATCTTTGCTCGATGAGATTACAACTATTCATTGCATAAGGCTTCCTTGTGAACAACCTTTTACTGAACGGTTCAAACAATTCCTATGGGTATCTGCACAGAAACATCAGTGAACTTAAATGTGTGCTTCCACGATGGCTAAATGTCCTTGTGAAGAAAGCATCTCACTGAAAAGTTCGACACAATCTTCATCTTCCATTGCTGCTTCTCCCTCGGGTCGCGGAGGCAGACTCGCCAGACAGAGCTTTCAACGTTCCCGATCCTGTGCCAGAGTCTGAGTTTCGGCAGAAGGTAGCTGGAGTCTGGAACAGACTCCTTCCATATGTTTGCACCAGGTTAATCTTGGCCACATCCTGGGCCTTCTGCCGGTTGAATTTGCAAGGAACAGTTGCCTAGCCTTCCTTTCTGGAGGCATTCGCAACACATGCCCAAGCCATCGCAGCTGTGATTTCAGTTCGACATCATTTTTGTCTCAAACAAGAAAAGGCTGAATATCTTTCGTCGCTTCCTGTTTAAATACTTCCATGTGGATTGACACGACTAAAACCACTGAGAAGTCACACATGCGATGGTTTGGGCACGTTTTGCGGGTGCTTCCAGAAAGAAGGCAAAACGACCGCTAATTCCTCATCCGCTCTTCCGAGGACGGCCAAGAATGACGTGGAACAAGTGATCCGACGGATTGCGCTCAGGACTATGGCTTCAATCGAAACTGAGACGTTGCGAGATCAGAAACGTTGTAGACAAAGTCTGACGCTGCTACCTCAACGATCCGAAGGATAAACGTTCATCGAATCTGACTGGCTGAAAAACCGTTGGAACAGTGCACAATCGTTAGACGTACAGTACACGGTATTGTACTGTATCATTAGAAGCGCGGATACAAACAGCTCCATGCATTCAACGGAAATCCTAACTCCTTATATGCATAGGCACTTATCGTCCAGACCTTCACCTATTGCCAGCCAGGCGATCTCCATCCACAAAAAGCACTATAGAAGTGGAGGTAAAGTACATTGGGATTATGTCGGGACCACATCTGAGATGATGAAAGCGGATGTTGAGTACGGCCAGTAAATCGGCCTTAAACCGTCTAAGAAGAACTGGGTGGTGCGAAAAGCAGTTCAGCAAGTCTCATGTCTAGCAACATCAGCTTATAAGAGGTTCTCAGCTTTTTTCCTTACCTGATATGCAAAGATTGGCGGATCATTCGGCCAGTGATGAAGTCGGAGCTCAGCAGAGTGGACAGAAAACTGCCAAGGACCACATTGCCAACATGGTAGTGAAATAAATATGCAACACTTAAATCAATGGTGTCAGACAACATGTCGCATCTCCTTTAAAATAAACTGATGGAATGCATGTATAGGTCAAAAAATGGAAACTGAGTTAGACCACCACTGCTCTATACTCAGCGACTATGCGGCAACCGAGACAAGGCAGACGCCGACCAGAAGGCGAGCATACAACATGAACGGACAAGCTATAGACAACTGTGACTTCACACAGAAGTTGTTTCTACCGGTGCATCATAACAAGTGTCGAAATGCAGCGAATACAACAGACAACAAAAATAAAAATGCGTTCAATTTATGTAAATGAATCAAAGTGACGAACTCATCCAACAGAGTCACATACCCTTCGCGCAGAACATGCACTCCTGCACTATCGTTTTTACCTAATTGCGTCAAATACTCAGAAACTGAGAAAAATAACTTACTTCAGGTTTGGACATCGCCTTGAGTAATGTTCCATTGTGCCGTGTTAATGACACAGCGTTGACAGTGTGCTGTACAGTAATTCGTTTAACTTTTTGGAAAGTTAGCCAGGACATTTATAGCGGTTCATACGAACCGCGATATAAAGTGATTTGAATTAAGCTCTGATCGCCTGTGATTGGATAAGTGCAATTTTGATTGACGCAAATTATTACAGCAATGCAACCAGTCAATCTCAAGCATACAGACGACATTCGTTTTAAAGCTAGGTGTTTTTAAGTTTTCAGTATAAGAAATCACGCTGTCGTTCCCTTTCAGATTATGAAAACTTCACAAATTGTGATTGAAGCCGTTCCTCTGCTTAGCTAATGAATAACGAGCAGCATTGCCACTGCAAATACGCAATCCGTCAAAAAACTTATTTTCCTAATCGATATTCACCTAAAGTATAAGCACAACTAGATAACCATTACTGTACGATTTTGCGATCGCCAGAACCATGTATACATGAATTAATCTATGGTAAATGACGTTTATCTTTTTCTTCCTGCTCTTCTTTCTTTTGCTTAGCACATTTCTTGAACCGGTGTCATATGCCTGAGTCAATTTCCTTCGCATTCTCTGTTATTCGAAATTTCTGCGCTAGAAATTACAACACTGCCTCATTCTTTACAGTAACGCGTCATCGCTCTACTGGTCACCATGGTCATTTTCAATTTAATCGATGGTCACCCAACGGACCCTGTTTCAGGTAAGCCTTCTCTTCGTTACGGCTACTAACAAATTCTGTACATCGTAGAAGTATAAAAGGAACCCACATACCCCTTAAATCCTCCCACCCCTCGATATTGTGCCGTGGATGAGTAGCAGTGCGTAAATCTTCCGGTTTCATGGTTACCAGCACATAAGACAAAGAATCCTTATTAACGCCCATCAGACCATGCAACCAAACTGGCATTGGTGTCTTATTCATTTGTTGATGATGACGATGCCCGTTTTTGTCTTTCGCGCTGCTGAGCATGGAATCAGAGAAACTATCAACTTTCAGATCGACATCTCAACGGTATAAAATATTCCTTTTCTTTCCTCATAAACAGAGGCCTCGTCGCCATGATTTATAAGAATGAAACTGGTAGTGCGAAAGCTTCACTACGGCACAATAAGCAAGCAATATCACTGAGTTATTCACGGTAGCCCTAGAAGAGGTTTTCAGGACACTCCATTGGCAAAATCAGGGGATGAACATAAATGGCCGCTACTTCAGCCACCGGAGGCTTGTGGAAGGTTTCGATCTGAGGAGTTACCAGAAGAATCCAAGACCGCAACGATGCTACATCTAATTAGGGCTGACTAACAGACAATAAACCTTAGGAAGACTCAGCTGACATTTAACAAATGCATGACCCATCGACCTGCTGAGGTTAATAGATTTTGGCTTGAATACGTGCAAAACTACGTCTATCAGGGAAAGCTCATTTCTGTAACGGAGAACTGACTGCACGAAATCGACAGAAGCAGAAGAATAAAAGAGGCCTAGAGCAATTTTGGAAGACTGAAAATGTTCCCATTACGAAAATTGCCCTTGTGTTTGAGAAGGAAAACTTTCAGTCGGGATGTGCTAACCTAACTGACTCGAAACGTGCACCTTAAGCCTGAAAGCCATTCATGAATTTCAGACTACGCAACGAAGCAGATATAAATGTATGTTGGGAACAACAAGGAAAGATGGGAAGAAGAACAATCGGTAGGGGCACAAACCATAGTCTGCAATATCATTGCCCAAGTGAGGAAGCTACAAGGGGCAATGGGCAGCATATGTTGCAAGAAGAATTAACCACCACCGGATCAGAGAGGTAACAGATCGGGCTACAGGATAGAGTAAAACAGCAGGAATATTTTAAGAATGAACCTTCCTTTCGGTGAGCTGAATAAGTTCGCTCGATCAAGATGGATAGAAACGGCAGAAAACAGAAGTCTGTGGCAGAGTTTCGGAGAGGCCTTCACCTAACAGTGAGAATAAGGTTGATCACGAAAAATCCATGAATCTAACCGGAAATCAAGCCAGATAGGCACACAGCTTGGTTAGTTAATCGATGACGCACCTCTGCCGTGCTGCTAATGCTTGATTGCGCTTATTCTAAACTTATGAGCTCTGACACAGATGGAGCAAGAAGCTTCCTCTATTTGCTAATAGATAATCTTTGGCACTCCCTGTCCTGGTTGAGTCTAATACGACTGTTTATCAGTGGAGAGGATAATGGTCTGTATCAGACTGAACAGTTTCATGACGTTACCACAGCAGTCATACAACGGTAAAGACCACACTTGATTGGTGCAAAAAATTCTTGATGTTGCTCAATATCTGACCTCAGAATAGTGCCATATTT